GTGTTCATAATGGGACATGTCAGTAAGTTCGCCTTAGATAGTCCATCCGGAAACAGCTTGGTTACATGTTTGATAACAATTTAGCCGCATTAAATTCACAAACTTAAACATTACCAATATGATGCTTATCAGTGTTTCTTTGATTAAGGATATAGTTCTATTTGTATTTTCTTTACTTATTGCAGTCGAAGTTGGAGTCAAACACTTTTCAATGCAAAAACGATAAGAAGTGATTTTTTTCTCCTTAATTTTCCACAGAAACAGTTTTGATATTAATATCAGTAAAAAGTTTGAGCATTGTGGATTAGATCAAATAAGGTATAATTATATTTCAATAGTTTACACACAATGATGTTTTAAAATAAAACAATTCCAACAGTGGTGTGAACACGGGCAGTAATTTTGCTCGAAATATTACCAATAACAAAACTTATCATTGTGTGCAAACTATTGAAATATGATTATACTTTATCAGTTTTGATATCTTATCCTATCGAAACATATGCGTGCATCACTGTATTTCTAATTTCGCTGTTTAACACATAACTTATTTGTTCAAATGAATATTTGTTAACATGTAGCTCTTCGGATTTGAATAGGTGTACGGACAATTTACATATGGACAAACAAATTTTCTATCCGACTACAAATATGCTGTAGGATGTTATCTTCGTCTAAACTATGTAACATGTGGTACTAGTCAACAGACTTGATAAAATCACAAATTCTCTAGTACTTTCTTTCGATCAGCATATTCGCTTATCTCTCTACCTTTAACTAGAGGGACACAAGTAGCCTTATGAAACAGCTATTTAGTCTAACATATTTTTAATTTGCTCTCACAAAACTTATATATATATATATATATATTAATGGTGCCAACAGAAAATGAAAACAAATCAAGAAAACATTCGTTTGCAGATCACACGCGCCTTCACGCATACAAATTACTAATTATAGATATTTTTGGTCAAATACAGTCGTGTCTGTATAATGGCATTATTTTCTTTATGGAAGAATTATTTTTTCATTTTATTTAAGCCTTTTGACCAGTTTTTATTGCTAACTAGTGGAATCTTCCCTTTCTGGTTTCATTTATTCTATCTAATTTCTCCACAGGCTTCAGATTTCCAAGTGTCATATGCATATAAGAATTAAGAAAGATTTAAAACAAAGAGAATAATTATTCACTATTCATATATGAAGGGGGGATAGGGATATCCTTTTTAACTAAGTTACCTCAGAAATAATATCCATATGCTTTTGTTTACCACACTATTAACTGCTACTACTGGTTTTTATGATGATAACAAGAGTAGTATTAAGAGCAGGTGCACATACTTATCAGTATTGCTAGTAAACATGTTAAGACTTATACGGTGTTTATTTTACTGAACAAGTGAATGGATTTCTTCCAACTTCTCCAAAATAACGGTTATCTTGTATCATAATTTTTCCTTTGGCCACGATAATTTAGAAATCTCTTCAGTTGTGTATATGTATGTACAACATACTGCACTGTCAAACTGGAATATGTTTCTTATCCACACTTGATTATGCTGTAAAGATTTTCCCAATGTGTGACTATTTAAACTAGGCCGAATCATGACAGATTTATCCTGGTTTATGTGCCAATAATTTTTTTCCTAGAAAACATCTGTACAACCAGATAAGTAGATGATCTAGATGCTGACTGCATAAGAAAGTGAAAGTTGGCGGATGGGGTAGGGGACTAAGTCCAATTGATAAGTGGGCATATGTTTAAGGAAAGACTACAAAAAACTTAAAAAGATTTAATATGTTATCACTATTTTAGTGACTAAAGTTTTTCTATAATCTCTACAAAATAGCAAACAACATTGCAGGGTGAAAAATCCCGAATGTTCAAAATGACAAGAAAATACTCTTTTTTATTATGCAGACAAGTCCTTTTGACCATTAAATATCCACATTGTTACTAATACTTCTTTGGGTCCTGAGTGAAACATAGGGATTCAACAACACATGTCCATTCTACCCAGTTCTCTTCAGTCCTTTCTAACTGACTCATCGGGTGTCCATAGGATCTCATCTTCTCTTCACACGATCTCCTTCATGTCACTCTAGAATGCCCAACCCTCCGTTTCCCATTCGGGTCCCACTAAAAGACCTTGCCTGAGATGTCACTCAAAGGTCTTCTCAGAGTGTGAATTATAGCTATTCACTCTCATCTGTATATGTTTTGTGAGCTAGTCTGTGGGATAGTTCGTTCCCAGAGTTCCTTGTCACTCATTCTTTCTGGCTATTGGATCTTTACTATCGAGCGCAGTCAGATTCTTACGAAAGTCTGCAGTTTCTTGGCAATGCTTTGAAAGACGCACGAAATTTATGAACCATAAAGAAGTATGAACTTGGCATGAATATTGGAAATCTGAATGCAGCGGATTTCCGATCTAATTTCAGAGTGATGAAGGTCTGCCTTGTCTTTCTGATCTCGGTTTCCATTGATATCCTCATGTAGTTGAAACCATTCTGTTAAGATGAGTGAAAGAAATGATCTCGTTTCAATGTCTTCCGTTAATACTGATTGGTGCTTGTTTTTGTTGGCTGGTTATCTTCACCACTTCTATATTCTATAAGCTCGCTTGTTGGTTTTCGGCTGAAAGTCTTCAAATTTATGTGACATCATCCATGATGTACAGATCCTTTTCTTCTTATTGGTCCAAAATATACCTGTCTTTTTGCAATCCACGGTCTGCTGCATGATCCAGCACAATCAGGAATATCACTGGTGATAGTTGGCGGACTCACATTACTCCTGTCCTCACTTCAAGGGCTTCTCCGAGTTCTGCATTGTGAAAAACCTGACGTGTGGCATCTTCATATGGTTGTTGAATGAGGTAGATAGAGATTCGAGGCTTTCCGTAGTGTTGAAGCAGTTTCCAAATGACTTCAAGCCAACTTCTGCAAGAGTTCAAGTTACCCGTCTTTGATAATCTGACAAAATAGCCTTTCTTTCAGTCAGTAGGCACTTTTCCTTTCCTCTGATTTTTCTGCAGTGGTAGTGTGAGGATATCCAGTGAAGTCTTTGGATCTATCATCATAGCTACTGGGTGGAATTCCCTCTGATTCTGCTGCCTTCTCGGGTGGCTTCCATTTACTTTATGGCATCCCAGGCTTCTACTTTTTCTGGAGGCCACTGGTAATTCTCAGGCTGTTGATAGTATTTCTGGACGATTTATATTTAAATATTTTACTTTTTTCATTTAGTCGGCACATTGTGACGTTGTGTAATATCACTTTAACCACTAGGAAATTCAACCAGTAAATAAAATTTCATATAAGGATTACTCAAATTAACAGTAGTAGGTTTATGAAACTATGGACTATTGGGTTCAGCATACTGTTGTTTAAAGTAATTTGTTACGAATTTCATCATTTGCTTCCCTATTTATTAATAGTTTGGAAGTCATATTGTGTTACAATCCTCACGGAATACCAAAGAGCAGTGTATCTATAAGTGACTATCAAATGTTTAGATTTCATACTTTTACTATAGCCTGTGAATTGACATGTAATGCTAATACAGTCAGTGGGAACTTTTTTACTCACATAGTTAAGAAAAAGCATATGAGATAATCTAAGTCCAGTGATGAATGTTCTTTGGTTCAAAATTAAATCTGCTCTTTTGTATCCTTTGAATGCTCATATCAAAACATCTCATTAAGTAAGACTCACTTCATTGTAAGTATTTGTATGTTAATGAATTCCAGGATAAATAGTTCACTATTTATAAACATCAGTTTGCAGTATATATTATAACACCGAATTCGCTTTCCGTCGAATGAATTACTATACCACAGAATATTATTTCTTTATACACAGACCAACATGAATTTTTAGCTGATTTTTTCATTTTATTTGAGAAATCCTTATCGACAGTCTAATACCACTGTAATATAGGAGATGATAATCAGTCATGTCATCTTGTTTTGTAGAAAGCGGCAACATCCCACATTCACTCTGGTCAAATAACAACTGTCTGAAGTACTTTATCACATATAACTTTCTCCATAGAAGAGTGTATCAGAGTAAAGAGGCTAATCTGAGAAACAACAGTGATTTAAGTGTTGGTTTGTAGGGATTTGCTTGGTTACAGGATTTCATCATGAGCTGACATTAGTTAGAGAACCATTGGAAAACGTGTGAGTACTGGACAGTCGTGGCCAGTAGGGTGCATTAGGTGGGGTGTGAGGACAAATACTCGCCGAAGACATTGGCTGGGGTCGCGCTATGTTGTGAATTGGCAGAAGTTAGAATTCATGGGCCATTGGATCAGGTCCCAGTGGCTGAGTGGTCTACGAACTTGCTGGCCTTGTAACCAGAAGGTCCTGGGTTCGAACCCCGGTGGGTGCGTAATAATGAAGAGTCCCAAACTAGGACGAAACGGCTGTCCAGTACTCTCAGGCTTTCCAATGGTTCTCTAACTGATGTCCGCTCATGATGAAATCCTGTAACCAACATCAGTGATTTGTTTGCAATCTACAATCCAATTCTTTTTCCACAGTATTAACTGAACTTAATTCTAAGTACAAAAAGCACAAATAAGCACAAAAACTGTAAAGCTTGATATGTATGATGAGTCGATACTAAAGTCAATCGTGAAGAATAATAATCTCAAACAACCAGTCAGATCGATGTAATACCAAAATCAATTTATGTATGGAAACTGATTTGGTTTGGCATAAAACAACATCTATGGGTGATTGGGACATAATTTCTAATAGCAAAATAAACTAAAAGTTAACAGTATGTTACTAGGTCATTCAAATACATCAGAATAAATGTGTTCAAATACTAGCTCTCTCTCTCGTAATCCTATGTCTTTTGAATGACTTAGCAACATGTAGTTTACTGTGAGCCCAAAAATATATTTTTCTCAACAATATCGTCTGTTTTTCGTTCATTGGGAAATACAAAAACCTTTATTATAATGAATCTCCTGAAACATTAAATCTTACCAGCTACACTGGCTCTATCCTTCCTTGGGCATCCAGATACACTAAGGTAAAAGAAACAATAGAATAAGAAAATCGATCATTTCAGTACACATAAGAGATGGCTATGCAAATAATGAAAAGTATTTCAGTTAGTTACCAACACACTATTTAAAATGAACCAATAGAACGCATCTGATGTTAACATAATTTTAACATGTGGTGAGGTGACTCATAATCTTTTATTTAAAAACATAGTAGCTCTAGGAGGGTCTAACGTAAAAGGCTAGCTAATGAGTTATTCAGAAAACTACATAAGATTATTAGTGAACTAGAACTTGGACACAATACTCTCATGTCTCTGAACAGCTCGAGTAAAATGTCTAACTTGCATAATGAATCGTGTTTGAGCAGTCGAATCCATTCATTTACAGCCATATGACATTTGAAGTCAATTGGTGGATGATGACTAACAGTGGAATCCAGGGTGCGCATTTCGCTCTATTTAGGACTCGTCATATGGATGTAGCTGCATTCTGCATTGTGGTGATGTTCCCACAGAGGCTTGAACCCAGTGCCCATAGTTTCAAATGCCAAAGCGTTATCCACTAGACCACTTGGGCCACGAGAGCTACCTCTTGTACAACGGGTCATACTGATTATTTAATTCAGTTTTATATTTTCCCGTCAACTGATTAAACCTAAGTGCCCGGTGTCAGGTTGACATGTCGGCTTCTTGTGCACATGCTTCTAAAATCGGATTAAATTCGATATTTGAGTCTAAAAACTGATTCAAGAATGTGATAAACTAAGACACTCAAATAAAGTGTAACCTTTTTGAAGTGCCTTAAAACAAGGTCACATAAAATGCCTTGTGAAAAATTTGGCATGTTACTCTCTATTTTAACACTATAATTCCGTTCACTTTATTGTCTAGTTTGCAATGGTTTGTCTCGAATATGTTGGCATTCATCAAATGGTTTCCAAATTAATTATTTGTGGAATTTATTTATAGTTCCAAATTTAATCCTTAAGGAGATCGACATAATGATATTAGATGCTGCCAAGTGAAATCAAAATTCTGGAATGAATATGTTCATTCTCTGACAATTTACTAAGGGATTATTATTCTTATCGTCTGCTTCAATAATTTACAGGGGTTTCATTAGTTCTTCTTGGGGTACTTGCCTTCTGTGATATGAATAAAGTCCTGTAGCATGTCCAGTACCATCACAATCCCTGATGGGACATCTTCCCTCTGTATTCCGCCCTTTCTTGGTTACTAAAAATTAAAGGTAGAAAGATTTCTTTTAGTAGACGAAAGTTTAGAGAAAAGTAGCATAAACTAAAATGACTATTATCCAAATACTTCTGAATATAGGGAAATAAAGACTGGACAGCTCTTACAATTATTTTTTTATTATAGCTTGATTCCACACCGCATTTTTGGTACAAGTCTGGAATTCTCAAGATGTGATGTTGGTAGCCTAAATTTTGCAAGCTGACCATTGATATCAAGTGTGCATCGGCAGGGGATCGAAACCTGGACCATGTGCACGGCTGGCAAGAGTCCTGACCTCTGTGCCACCGACTCACGTCTGTTGAGGAAATAAATAGTTTTATTAGACTAAGGTCTTAAAATCCATGAAAATTATTAGAATCTACAAATATTATTTGATTACTGTAATCTTAATCAATACACAGCCAGTGATATTAATTGCATTTTTGTAAATGACGATGGACTTCTCTTAAACTGTTGTCGTGGTAAAGCACTACTAATTTCTTCTGATTGTAATTTCAATTGAAAAATGTCCGAACTCATTAGCGGACTCACTGCCACCCCACTGCTTGATAACTTTTATGGTGCGTGAAATACAAGGTGCCAAATCTTCAACTTAGTTGATCCTATGTTTCGAAACCTCAGTATTCACTTTGTTTTGGAATTTGGTTTTTTACTGTTTCCATATTTCCACTGCTATAATTTACTTCATTTATAAATTATCTTACAGCAGAGAACATTTTATCCTAAATGATTCTATGATTCGACCTCATCACATGACTTTCAAAGAACTCATACTAACACAAAGTAAACCATACTTGTCCTGCAAATGGCGATTATCCAGCGAACAGTACAATATGGCAGAAGATGACATTCTTATGCGCTGAAGTAACTCAGCAGAATATGACATTTGAACACACCTCAAAATAAGTGACCAGGGTATCAGCGAGGAAAATATGAGCCAAGACAATATCATTCAATCTTTCAAAGACAAATTTATTATATTTTGATTCCTAAATTTCTCGATTTGCTGCCATCTATGTTATTAGGTATAGTCTTGCTAAAGAGCTTATCTACATAAGTTCTTCATTAAGCATTACAGTTTAGATTGCCACTTATTGATGGGTAAGAGAACTGCATCCTTTTTCCAATTTATAGCATCCTCAAATTTTAAAATTATACGATTATCTAGGGTGATTTTCGGCATAAAAGATAACTATTTAAGCGAAAACAAATTATTTATGTGAAATCACAGTACCTTGAATGGACTTCATTTTAAATGAGATCTGTTTTTGAAAATTCTGTCCTGATGAATGGCCATATGAATTTTTAACTTCTTGTTTATGTATTTCAGAAGTGGACGAGGCAGAAGAAGGTGATGGACAATTGGAAGACTCATTCGCGACATCATATACTGACCTGTCTTTATTTTCATTATCATGATAAATAGTTTTGTTACTTCCCATTATTCTACTTTGATCTGATTCTATGTCTATTAGATAACTAACAAGGTGATTCCCTTTTTTGTTATTTTCACTTTTTTTAGATGATAACTGATGAGTTACAGAAGTGTCATTAGTAATTTTACTTTTCGTTTTACTATGCTTAAGGCTATTGATGTTATTTAACTCCAGTGAATTCATAAAAATACTGCTGTCGTTTTGTTTCATAGCATTAAATTTAATGGATGAATCCATTTCATTCCCGTCATTCAAAGAGTCGTACAGAAGAGCAGAATGTCGGGAAACAGGTGAGACATGTCCATAACTAATTGTCATTGACTTGAATGCAGGTTCGCTGAATACATCCTCTAGCTGATTGTTATTATTCATGAACATCCTAAATAAGAAAAGAAAAATAATAGAGGAACAAGTTTTCCATTGTGTCCTAGCGATTTCGATTAACTCATCAGAAAAAACAAGGCGTTCTTTTACTCATATTTAAGAACTTGTGTTACTAAACTAAACCTGACATCTACAAATAAGTAAGGTATATAATATGAGTAAAAAAGGGGAAGCAATTTACTAACTTGATCTCTAAAAAGGGACTTGCTAACAGGTACATATTATTACAGTTGATTGAGGCACAGAACAGGATATCCACAAACTTTAATAAACAATAATTATTACCCAGTTCACAAGAAATGTTTGTCATGACTTAGGAGTCTAGTAGATCGCATTTGTAAGTTTAGAAAAAGTTGGCGTCTTACTCGAGCTTAGATCCCATTATTAACCACCTCGTTTCAAATAAAAGCAAAGCAGAATCGGAGATATACTTCAGGTGCATTTTTTGGAATGCATATGTCAATACAGACAGATCATAAGGGTTCAGTGAAGTAAACAACGAGAAATTTCCAAATTCCAATGTACAAAAACATGAATGTGACTAATTCATTGTACACCTCTACATAATTAAGAGGTGTGAATGGAAAATAAACATAAATTTAAAACTATTGTTCGAAGTAAAACCTAATAACTGGTTAGCCAGTCTGACGAGAATATGTTCGTACACTTCCTCCGCTATGCATCAAAGCATTAATTTTCATTTGGCCCAAAAATTATCCTTTCATTATAGTGTATCGTGCATTCAGTGAAAATTATGACACCTTATAATTTCTGTGTTTTTTATACGGCTAGTTTGGTATATTCTGATTGTTTGTTATTTTTGGAAATGGATGTGATAATTTTCTTTTGACAGGTCTGAATGTGATATGTAACCTTAAACCTAAATGAAGGAATTCAATTTTTTATTATTGGTAGAAATTAAAACAACAACTCAGTTAATTTGTAAGAGGACAAAATGAAAACAATCTAATATACTTCTCTCCTACTTTGCCAACCTCTATCTTTAGACAAACGCAGCAAGGAGATTTATTGGTAAAGATCGGACTCATGTGTCTAAAAGCACTTCCATTCGTCCTTCTTGTTCACTTTTACCAACACCCTAGAATTCTTAAACTCAACAGTTTTTGTCTCTTTTATTGCTGTTTCTAAGCGAGGTTATGTAAATATGTAGATATTTTTACTTAACATTATCAGTAAGCATTTTGCATACCATTAGTGGAGTTTACCACAGCCTGAGAAAATGAACACTAAATTCTGTTAAAATTACTGCTAATTAACAAAAGTTTTACTCTTTCCAAATAGTCCACCGAGCGGAATGTGAGGTCAGTCACTAACACTTCACAATGTATGACTTTGAAGTTATACTGTAAACCGATACAAGTTCGGAGTCAAGTACCTTATAGATACCAGCAAAACTGACTCTCTTTAAATCTTGGTCGTAGAGACAGTAAGGTTGATCTAGATAATACACTTGTATGTTGATAACCAAATACACATCAACCCATTAAGCTAAGTAAAGTGTTGCTGCTATAGACTGACCAGTATTAGCATCCTGTATAAGATTGACACGTTTCCCCTTCTTTAACCTTGTAGTGCAGCAATAGTCTGAATAGCAACAACATAAGGAGAAATTACATCTACAGCTATTTACATAACTTATAAGATAACAAGTGAAATAACTAACCAGACGAGGCTGCTAACCGCTGAGTAGGATTATCTGATTTTATGAAATTGTTAAGAAAGAAATGATAAGTTGGAGGGCAAGGGAATTAATGAAGTAGTGACATACCTCTTCATCTATTTTCAATGGTTATTTGATGTCTCACTAACACTGTCTAGGACTATTCAGTAAATTAACAAAATCTCACTACTTGTTGAATAAGTCATCAGGTAACACATAGATAAGTCTAATAATTTTTGGCTGGAGAAGAGTGAATAGGCAGATATTATGATTTATGAATTTTTAAACAGAAGTATATTATTTCATAATAAAAATTAGAAGCGAATACAGTGAAGAATTGCAAAGTGCATATTGAAAATACTCTGGTATTTCCAAAATGAAAAATCTCCCCTTCTCAAAGTCAGTTTAACTGAATCAATCAACTTGGATTGTGCACTAAAAAAATGAAATATCCCATTGTATCCTTTCATATAAGTTCTAAGTTAGGGAAAAGGAAGTTTTTTAAAATAAATGAATGAATCAAAAGTTGACAGTCTTAGTGTTTGATGAAAAATGACAAATTATCTATCCCTACAGACAATATACCCGGCAATTCCATTAAGCATAATACTGATTTTGTTTAATGTGTGTATTAGGCCATGGGCAATGAAACAGTTTTAAAATGTGACAGTATCGAATCACTAGTTTTATGTTCCAGTTTCACCAAAGCACCCTTCATATTAGTAAGAAATAATAAGGTAGTGAAATGAAAAGTGCTATGCAGTTAGTAATTTATCATGATTTCAGTCATTTCAGACAGTATTGTTGTATTTGGGCTTGTGTATAATTTTTTTAAGGTAAAATACACACTTACACATTTGGTAAATTGCCTTGAAAGTGGACGTAGGTTCATGAATCGAAATTTTGGTGATCTGTCTTATCACACTATAGAATTCTACATGTCATCAGTAACATAGGGAAACAAAACAATCAATCACCAGAGTAATAACAGAAAGGTCTTATGAACTTTAACATAATGTCTGAAAATTTATACGGTAAGGATGTGAATTATAATACAAAAAATATATATGAGTGAGATTTCATTACAGATAGATTTTCACAGTTGTTTACTGCTTTTAGTCTATTAAAAGAGTATCAAGCTTAGTGTATCATGCGAGTTAAGTCCATTGTATACGTTTTGCAATCTGAGACTCACTTGTTTTCTTCCTTTGTGTAATTTGAATGCAGATGTCTTTGTGAAATCTACTAAATAAATCCTGTCTATGCCGGAAAGCGAGATTTGATAACAAAAACATCATCCTGAAGGATATGCTGATGATTAAATTAATATTGTGATATTTTTTGGGGAAAAGTGTTGTCTCAAGAAAAAAATTTAAAAATTCATATATTTTTCAGATAACTGTTGTTCAAATCAAATGATTTCCATTTTTCCTTTTTCACCTACAAATGTCCATTAACTACAGATAAATTACTGGTTTCCGGATTGAATCGGATCCTAACATTGAGAATTAGGAATATTTGCAAGAAAAACAAAGTAAGAGAGCTTCATAAATAAGGAATTAAAGACAATTAAACAAATGATCACGTGTATTTAAAATACAGTCTAATATATAACCAACCATTCCTTTCATTTGAACGATTAATCGTGGTCATCAGAATTATTACTGCTTGTTTAAAACAAACTAAATTTTGAATTCGTTAATCGAATAAATTTTGTCACTGCTTAGGCATAGAAATCGAGCACTGTGGTAAAATATTATTCTTTATTGAATAAACTAATACAGTAATAGTTCTAGTATTACTAATTGAGCTCAATTTATTGCTCATAAATATATTAAGGTATTCACACAGCTTCGTAACTTGTTGTGTATAGTTGTACTTCTTCCAAAAGAGACGTGAGAAGTCATATGAATACTATGGTTATACTTATGAGTAATAAATTGCGGTCAGGATGTCATTCAATTAACGATACTTTATTACTATGTCATATCAGGTAGACATTTCTGGTACGGAACTAAATGATACTTAAGGAACATAAATGAAACAGGATTAAATTTGCTAACATTCACCTAAGGAAAAAATTATAGGGAAACCTTTTCTCAGATTCACTGAAAACGTACGAAAGATTTCTGTTTTCATGAAAGTTACAAGGTGAAATACGCACATATACGTGAAATTAAAATGAATATGATTCTGACATATTCCCAAAGTTCAATACGGCATTAACAACAAAATACGATATATCTATTTGGACATCCTATTTTATGTCGTTTAATGTAAACCAATATCACACTCTCATTGATTGGTCAAATAATATAAACTGTATAATATAAACAGCGGTTTGATTAATGAAAATATATCTTGGCTTCCGTGTTTCGCTTTCGGTTGTTACACTAAGAAAGTTTTGTGATTCAGGTTAGGGATGAAGAGTGTTCAGTTTTCTGCAAACAGTGAAATTTGAAGGTCAACTTTTCATTTCCAGGATTAGTGACATCCTTGGTACCGGTGTTAGTAACTCTTTAACACATATGTACATTTGAGTTTGTTCAGCGGAATCTTGTCGGATGACCACTTACAATACTTCAACTCATCGAACTTTATTGATAAAGAGACATTATTTGTATTGAAAGACAGTAGAGCAATCAAATTCGAAATATAACATTTTATGAATTTAATCGATACGCTGGTAAAGATATTTAGTATGGACAAGGAGATACTTGGAAATCGTGGGTTACGACACATTGAACACTTCAATTGTATAGTCCTCAATTGTCACTAGAATAGTCTTCCATAAATGAGATATTAGTGTTTTGCACACCACCAAGGTGACGGGAAAAACTCACGAATCCCTAGGATAGATAAAATTTCCTAAGACCTAAGATTTTGCATCTGTTGAGCAAACAGTTCAACTTCAGAAAAAATATCTCGTGAAGTAAATTCTAGCGAAACTAGAAGAATAAGCGCTTAGCATGGCTCGTCGGACACAGATGAACTATTCGGTGGAAACTCCTTCACTAGATTAGTTGGTTCTGGATTTCACTCATTGGGAATTAGAAACCTAAGTATGGTGGACGTTAGTCATCCAATTTTCTGGCCACAGGATTTTAATTTCGTCTGGTCATCTATGAATATTTTGTTGAAAACTCGTTACTGTTATTTTACCACGATTTGTTGTCACCAATTTATACGTAGCACAAAAGAAGGTGGTAAAATAAGTAAATTTATGATATTATAAAGCTTATTTTTTCTCCTAGAAATCCGTGGAAATGATTGGATACAAGCGATAATTTCCAAGCAAGATAATGAATATATGTTCAATTAATGCTACTTTTTTCAAACTTTATTGGAGTTTTAATATTGCAATTACGAGGATATAGAATAGAACTTTATATTCGACAACTGATTTAAAACAATGCTGCAAAAGCTACTACTTTTCTAACGTTATGTATTAAGACACTGGACTCACTTCAAGAAATTCCTAGACTTCAATTTCTCAGGTTGATCTACAAATTTTATTGATGCTGCTTCGATGAGGCCTTGGGTAAAGGAATTACAAATTTCCACCAAAATCTTATGCAATTAGTGCCAGATGAATAGATCTGACATTCAGTCATGTATAAACAATATCACTATCAAATTACAATATTGTTTATGAACATAAAAATCCAGTGTGAATTAAGTTACAACTTGAAATTATTTAAACGAAATAGATGACAAGAACAGATTTACGTCGACGCAATATAAGATTCACGATAAATACAAAATATAACCAATTTTGATGATAACTTATTGAATATGATCTTGTGTTGAAAAATCCGTAATATCAATCCCTACTGTCAAGAACTAAGTACCTAAATAGTGATCTGGTGCTCAGTAATAACTTAAATTTGATACAGAACAAGTGATAAATGTTAGAGTGTCTGTTTTCAGGTCATTTCACCAACCGATGGAGGTCAGTAAGAAAAAATAACCTGAAAATGAAGCTGAACACTCATTCATGATAAGAGTTCTCAAAGAAAAATCCACCCAGCTTCTTTAGAGTACTTCTTGAAACACTATCCATGTAATGCACAGTTTATTAATATGTCTGTACACTTATACCCTATCAGTCTAATGAAACAGAAATAGCTACGGTATATGAAATTTATTGAAAACAGTGCAGATAAAGTTTGAAATGTGTAATGGAATTAGGTACCTCACTTTGAGCCAAGATACTAGTGACGAGCACTAGTGATGTATAACTGGGTACATATGGTACTGAAGATTTACACACACTGACTACTTAGATAGTTCCCTATTGAATCATCATCATAATGCTATCTAAACGTAAAAGAATTCTGTGAACGTAATGATGACATTAGTAATCACTGAACAAAAGAAAGTTAAGTAAGACTAAATATGTAGATATTAACCTCAGTTAGTTATCGTCTTATGCAGAAGGATCATTTTAGGCCAACATAAATGGAGAGCAGTACAGACTAGATTCTTACTTCAAGCATAGTTCCTTTACACTTTATTAATAAAGCTGTATGCAAACAAAGTCTTTCCAAATTATATAACTAGTCAGTCTGGGGACTATACTGTTCTGCCATCGCCAAGTTATGCAGTTAAACTTATTATCCAAAATCAAGTTATAGTAGCCTCTACCCACTAGTCTGGCATTTGATAGAAGCCTTTAAATCCCCAAGTTACCATAATATTAATTCATTTCTGAGAGTAGGACTGATGACGTTCTTTTCAGAAGTTTCCCACTAGACAATGCTGTGCATCTTCATTAATACAAAACTGAAGGGGGTAGAGGTATCATACATATACCGGAAGTCTACATTCTAATAAGTTATATTAAACAAGATCGCTAGATTCTAAGTGAAGTGAGACAATAATGGTTAAAATATAAAGTTACTCACTTTCATACACAAGTGGAAAACACATATCTTCGTGGAATTTTTAATATCTGATTCATTAATTATATATTATGTAAGTTTATTTAACAACCATGTTGACAAAATTTCGCACTGGATGCAGATATGAGTTATGGACACTGGCAACATAATATATAATGTTGACTAATCACCAATAATCAGGTTTTCATTACTTCTAACGCTTTAGTTATTTATTTACAAAATAGAGGCAAGAAATTAATTTTAACATTCATGAGTTAAATTTAGTGTTTATTTGGCTTTTCCTGCTTAAAACGTCGTTATTAGTTGAAAAATTACAATTATAGCTAAATTTCCATGTATACGTTTAGAAAAAACAACAGATTAAGTGAAGAAATATATTCCTTTTCAATTAGTTCCTCATCACCGGCTCTACACTAATATATAGGTTTTACGTCAACAATTTTTTTACCAATCAACTGGTTATTTCAGTTAATCAGTTTTAGGTATGGGGAGGGGGTGAAATTAAAAGGTTAACAGTTATCAAAACAATTAACTAATAGATGTTGGTAACAAGATATCTAAGTTTTGAAAGAGGTTTGGTAAGCGTCCGAATAAAGCGATACGCAACTCAGTACTAGCTCATCTCGTCAATATTGGACATCAACTCTAGTCTACAAAAGCTTTTAAAATTTTTTATGGTATTTCACCCAACCTTTCGCATGGTCTACAACTACTGGTCTTACATACAGAAAAGGCAATTAGAATTCGTCTGAACAAACCAAGTCTGTGTGTTCAAAAGAAGTTTGTACAGCCTTTTACTTTACCCTGGCCAACTACATAATATGTACTCACCCACCGAGGTTCGAACCCCAAACCATGAGGAAACAGCTGTTCAATACTCCTAGGTTTGCCATTGGTACTCAAAACGATATCAGCTCATGATGAAGTCCTGTAACCGATCAATCAGATCTCTACAAACGAATGCTTGAATACATAATATGTACTCAGTTTTTAAAAACGATTCCCTCCCCTCTTGTAACTTTCTTTTAACTTTGTTATTTTTTACAATTCTAGTTAACTCATTTAAACTGTTTGTATTTAACATAATTTTTCTGAGTCATCATTTTTCCCTTTCATCATTATTTTACATATTTCTTGATTATGTAATAACTGTTGGCAAATTAAATTATCTTGCATCCCGTAATTGATTTCACCCTTCCTTCAAAACTTAAATATCTTGTTACCAACATCTATTAGTTAATTGTTTTGATAACTGTTAACCTTTTAATTTCACCCCCTCCCCATACCTAAAACTGATTAACTGAAATAACCAGTTGATTGGTAAAAAAATGTTGATGTAAAACCTATATATTAGTGTAGAACCGATGATGAGGCACTTACAAGTATGTTGAGGTTCTGTGATATCATTTATCCGAGTAACTGCTGTGCTGTATAAGAGTAACCAAAGTGTCACCTAACTGTTTGCTTGAATGGGTCTAAATTTGAATACCTATCTGACTGAAAATTCACGCGTATAAGCGTTAACTTCATTACTCATCAGTAACACAGAAGCATTTAAAAATTCTCACTGTGAAAAATATCACTAACAGAAAAAGTGTGCCAGCTTTAAAATACTTTAAAGGTCTAAATTTCACAATCAGCTTTTTATCAACAGTGAATATAAAAGTTTTAGTGAACAATTAAGTGGTTAAGGCTAAGTGGAATAAATTCCAGTATTTTCCAAAGGGTTTTAGTGTCTGGATTATTTTTCTCAATTAAGCGCTTAGGATTATGCAACAATTTAATTTCTTTACAAATAGATTTCATCAGTAGTAGACACATAATCGTTCTCCTTGATTTCCAAATGAGTTCACCACTTACATCTGAAGTCCCATTTATAATTCCAGTCTGAGAAATGAAAATACTAACAAACTAAAAGCAAGTACACTATGATATATTTTAAAGTAAGTTAAGCCATTCCTAACCATTCGTGCAGATCTAACCTATTATTCCATCAGTCAGATATAAGTGATCAAAACTTTGAACATTCATTTCTATTACTTCATCGAAAGAAAAGCAATTAGCTAGATTAATTCGGTACATACTAGAAAAGTTGATCTCATCAATTAAATTGACTGGACTGTGTCTATGAAAATTACTACCACTAGCTCCATGTTTGTGTATCAGCTTTTTACGACTGATATTAACTTTTCACATTCCCTGCAGCTGAAAACATATAAAGGCATCTGTGATTCATTGCTTCAGACATTCAGTTAGCGGGTCACAGATTCAAACCCCCAACTTCACGTGCTAAGGTTCGAGCATTCAAGCAGTGTCATCAGCTCTCACAAACTGAATGTGATTTATTTCAAAATGGATGAAATGTAAGTACTTATAAAATAATACTAGAAAAACATGTAAAACACATGTATGAAATAATCCAGAAGAGCGAAGTGTAGGCACGTTATAATATTCCCTATCAAAGAACAAAAGGATGGTGTAGGTTCACTTTAGTATATTTTATCTAAACTTTAATATTATTTCAAGACCCTTATGATGGATTTTCTAGTCCTCATTCTTATTTATTAGTTCAGTGTCAAGTTCTACTATAATGTTATTATGACTTTATCGGAGAACAACCATTAACACATTCGGCTTGATAGGCCTTACTCAAATATAAATTAGCAGTTGAAGACAACGAAGTACGAAATATAAATTTAACTTACTTCTAACTGCAGAAATCCGCATTAAAAATACGAAATAGAAGTTGGAATAGTTTTGGGACTTGACAAAAGCAATCGTATAAATGCTGTAGCTACTGGTACTATTTTAACCTCTGAATTTCTATACTAGTGTGGTTGTGGAGACTGAAGTTATGATATTAAATTGTATTGCAGGGGGGAGTTCTGAAGATATATATAGGGTATGAGATATAATATTACGTACGAAAATATTCTGAGTTAATTTTTACAAGTCTTTACGTGTATGTGTGTGTTCTTTAATAAATAGGTATGAAACTCGTCCTTATTATTCTAGCCTAGCTGTTTCCTCTGTCATAACTTATTGAATCTTGACTAAGTTTTCGTACAGATTAAATGATTGGTTCTCAGCTGCAATATAAGTATGAAAAGTCTAACTTCAGTATAAACTACGACACAAGCATACAGATATTAAGTGAATTAGACTGTACACTTTGTGACATGTAAAATTAACTGCTATCCAATCCAAATAAAGTTTATCAGACTTTAAAGTGTGAAGTAAATTAGCCTTCAGAAAGAGGGACATATACGATTTTTATATTAACTGAGAGGATTTGCGCTTACGGCATCCATAGTAAGAAGTTAAGTGCATGCAAAGGGAGTAGGCAACTATGTTATTATAAAATGATGCCGTATATGTCTATATTTTCACATCATTTGTAAACTCTAATGTCTAGCAGAGATTTAAAAAATCTTACATGACATTAGAAAGAATTAAAAATTTTACGCTTAGTGTAGTAAATTTACTTCAGAAATTCAGTAGTGAAATTTAGTTACAGGAAAAGATCAGAAAGACTAAGGCAACAAAAAACGACTTTCACAACAAAGTCATTTGTCAACATGTAGAAAGAGTAGAATTAATCAGAATTAATCCAGTCAAGAATTAGATTGTAGAGATCGTATTTGTTTCAGGTTAGACCACGGGTTGATATCAGTTAGAGAATAATAGAAAACAAGGGAGTACTGAACAGTTGTTTCATCCTAGTTTGTGAATCATCATTAGTGCGCACCCTTTCGAACCCAGAACTCAGTTACAAGACAAGCTCGTATACCAATTTAACCAATGAATTCTAACTTCTATCAATTCGTGATTTAGCGCGACCACCAACCAACATCATCGGCAGAAACTACATCTTCCTACCCGACTGGTTGGACCCCACCGGTCAAGACTTCTCACTAGAACTCTATGCAACTTCGTCCTGTAGCCAGTCAGACAAAAAGTGCACTGAATAATATGGTGAAGCTACTCAGTAAACATTTGGACCATAACAAATAGCATATTGTCAAGTGTTGGTATGCAGGGAATTGACTGATTTTAAGATTTATCGTGAACTGACTTCATTTAGAGAACCAGTGAAAATCAGGAAGTACTGGACAGCAACTATATCCTTGTTTGAGGCTCTTTTTCAGTACGAAACCATTGCACCAATAGGGACATTCATGTTTAACCTTCAGGTTACTGGGTAAGCTTGTATAACATTTAGCCACTGGGACGGAGTTCACTGGTCGGTGCATGAACTCGAATTTCTAACAGTTAGCGATATATAGTGCGACCGCTAGCCAGTGTCATCGGAAACTATTTCTCCTCACACCCGACTTGTTAAATCCCACTGGTCACGACTTCTCACTGCAACTTCAGGTAGTTATATGCTGTAGTCAGTCACTATGGTTCAATGGTTCTGTAACGGAAGGCATTTCCTGGTCGGATTTGAAAAATATAATAGTATAAAGCGGAATTTATCTACAGAATGTAAGAAAAAGAAAACAAGTTGTTGAGTGCAACTACTCTTTACGGTTATTTCATTTACTGCATATCAACCATCACAACAGAAAACAAGTGAAAGTGTGACATTTTGACTAAGTGTAACAGGCAAACTTGAAGTTGGGATTTCATTGGAAGGTGGTGGTTTGTCAGAGTTGGGAAGGATGTTTTGAGAGAATGAGGTTTCAGCCGACTGTAGTGAGCAGTAACTGTATCACCAGTTGGTTTCTGAAGACTTTTAAAAAGATGGGTGTTTTGAGGACGTGTGAACGATTACAAATAGTTCTTCGTTTCATCAGGAAAAGGTTTTGGATCATGCATAAGAAGAGCAGTGCAGCCAACACGTAGTGGACGGAGTAGATTGGTCCGCGAACAGGACGGTCACAAACATCTTTCCGTTGATAAAATGACCATCTCTTTTTAGTATGTGCCAGACAATAAGCTACTATCAGGTGACTGTGCATTTCTTGAGTACCTGCATAGAGCGTAGAAGTACCATCTGGACTTTGACTGGGAGAGGTAATTCAAAACAAAGCAAAAGCAAGGGAGGGGAAAAATCTGTTAATGGGTGAACGGAGGAATGGTAGGCAAGAAGCCACTGAAGCAATGTTCCATCTCAAGTGTCTATCGACAATAGGCGAATAAAAGCGCCAAGTATTTTCTTGATTATTCGATTAGTACGTTTCAATAAACGACTTTGTTTTGGTGGAAGACGACAGTGGAAATCTTTCAGATGCCACATGCATTACAGATGTACGTGGTAAGTTGACTGTCGAATACCGCACCCTAGTCAGAATGCAGTGATTGTGGGGCACCAAAACGAAAAATATACTGGTTAATTAAAGCGTCAGCAACGACAGCTATATTTTGTTTCAGCAAACGTACCGCTTTATACCATTTGGTAAAATAGTCAGTCGTGATTGGGATATGTTAGACACCTCATGTCGAAAATCTAAGTGGTCCCATGATATCAGTACCCACCAGTTGACTCGGTGACCCGTTAGCATACAAATAAGGACTCTTTGTGTGTTTTTAGAGGATCCTTAATTTGGCTACAGACGTCATAATTTTGGCACAGACATCACAATAAAGCAGCAAACACCAAAATTATTGACGGATACGATGTTCTGCTTTACATCAATGAGCATGACTGACTTGGTGATGTACCTGGCTAATCAGCTCCTGAAATTTAACGTTTGGACCTAGAATGCAGAATGATGCATTTGACTGATTCACATGCAAGACATTATTATTATTACCATTTACTGTGGTAGATAAGCCTCGTAGTTTTACAGACGACGGTCTATTTTTTCCACTACCTTGGCGCTTGCCGCTTGCGGTGATACCTAGTTGAAACCCGTTATTGTGCTAAACGGGGTATTCACTGTAGGATCAAAACTAGACAGTAGAAATATAGCATTTGTATTGGTGTGTTGCTTTTCTGGTCGATATTCGCAGGTATAGTCAATTTTTTGTAGGCCCTTTTGTTCGAGAGATACGTGCAAATAAGCTCAAGGAAGCCTTATCGTATAAGGTTGGGTACAATGGGAAGAGTTTAGGAAAAAGGTTGATTGGAGTGTTAAATATGAAGAGCCTGAAATGAAGAAAAGCTCAATGAACTTCTACATGTGAACTGTAGTTTCTCTGTCTGAATAAATAAAGTCTTAGCAATACCGTAGGGACTGACACAAACTGACTGAAGAAACTGCACTTCGCTAAATAAGTATTTTTTAAGATAGATACTTCTGAAACTGGTTAATTTGCATCGAAAAGGTGTTCATTTATTGTCAACTATTAGTAAATTCTCAAGGTAGTGAGTGTGATTCATCATCGAATGATCGATGTGTCAGACATCATGGGAACAAGCAAGCAGGCATATACATTGTGGTGTGGTCATTTATGTCATTTTGACCTTCGGTTTGTAGTGATGTTGTGAGGCTTCAAAGCGACACTGGTACTAGTACTGGTCTGTGTCCTACTCAGGGTTCTAAACCCCTTTATTTATGATATCAGGAGTTGGATAGTCTCTAAAGTCAGTGTTCATTAAAACAGCATTTTTTATTGATACAGAGGTTCAGCCGTATCTTGAAGGTGTTAGTTTAATGCTTTATTCACGAAATGAGGTGATTTAGAAAGCAGATTTCTTCTTCTGCGGTATTAGAGCAGAGGGTATATGGGATATGAATAACAAAAGAAATAACTGAACTTTTCTTGTTAATAGTTGACACTAAATTATAAACTCCTGTCACCTGACAATGTTATGTAATTCTTCTGTAAGTCGTAGCGTTATTTATAAACTGACAAGTCATTTAATATTTCTTAAGTGGATAGTCCAGTAAACATCTAAAACCAATTAATGCTAACAAGAAAGTTATGAAACTTTTGGAAGCTTGAGGTATGGCCATCAAAATGTAAGCTGAATAAGGAAGCACGTCGTTGATCAGATTATTTTTTATAAAAACGTTGAATATGATTTTATAGCTCTGGCTAAATGACTATAGAAAACTCAAACGGATTCAGTGAGATCAAACATCGACTTACAAGAGCAGTCTGTATTGTTCATAATAAAAAAATGTGGCAGAATATCAAGAGCTTTTATATGCATGAGCTGCTTAACAGTGCAAAGTTTAAATAAGTGTTGTTTGTTAGGCCGTATAAGATTACAACAGAAAAGGCGCATTTATCTAAAGTTTACCCAGTGTTCACACTACAAGACCGTATTATTTAATAAATAAAAAACCACCAATTAAAAAAGAAAACACATATACGGAACTATTGTGCAGTGATTATATTTCATTCAGTGCATTAATATCAGCCGCTGAATCGGTTGTTTTCTTGAATGCTTTCGGTTGTGCTTGAATTAATTTCATTTCATCGGCCAGTTGTTACCGACTGATGACGCTAATAAGTATCACCGTATTTTAGACATAATTATCCTTTTCTCTACCATAGGTATATTAAAAAAAAGAAACTAAAAAGAAATTCGCCTTCATTCTCAGACAAGCATCGTTGGTTTTGTTTTGTTTTTCAAAATAGAAAACTGTTCTAGTTACCATGATTATTGTATAGTTTGTACTGTTTTTTTTAGAATGTTTTCATGAATCCCTTAAAATTCAATTTCCATTATGTAATAATTGTTTTGTTTCGGAGAGTTACTAACGAGTTTTTTGAAATGCCCTGAAGTCATTTATGTTATAGTCATTTCAGCATTTTTAATGGAGATTTAGTGAATAATTGACTGCTTTTGATAACTTCCCCTATTGTTTCAAAACAGCAAAATAAAGACTTATATACTTACGGTTTCTATGATTTCAGTGGTTTCATAATAATAAGTTCATGATAATAGTCTGTCTTTTATCTATCAGTTAAATGTAAAAATGAGATTATGGCAAAGAGCTAACAGAAAGAATTAGAGAATATTAAAAAGAAGATTGTCTCTCTAAATGAC